AAATTTGATCATTTTGTCATAATCAAAACTATAATAATTTTAAAGCTAACATGCAAAACATCTAATAAGTTGTCCTTTCTTATTAGATTGCTTAATATCAAAGGAATGATTGGATGCAGCAATGCTACAATTACCATGTTTTTGGAGTTGCTTAAGTCAATATTATCAGAAGGTGAAACACTACCAAGGATTTTTTATTTATTTATAATGTTGTTAACTTGCAAGCTATTTTGTTAGTAATTTATTTTATTTTTCATTAATACAGAAAGTTAATAAGGAAACATAGAGGAAATATCCTAAGTTGATATATTTCTTTTGACACATAAACACAAGAATGGAGAATTAGATGAGGAAAGCATGAGAATTTTGGTATGACTACAAACTTTATATTGATATGATGTAGAAAGATCATATAAACATGGATAATTTAATTATAATTATTTATGTTTAATTTTAGTTTTAATATAAATAGCAAATATCTCAAAATTTATAGAATTCTGAGGATCTTGGAGCTCAAAATGAAATCTTTGCTCATGTAATGGGGCACGACAAAGCTGGCTATGTGTCTCTTTACTGAAGAGGTGTGACTGCTTCAGATCTAAAGGAAAAACCAAATTCATTTGATTCCATGGATGCCCAAAAAATGGTTGAAAATGCCAAAAGAGTTGCCATGGATGAGATGAAAGAAGTGAAAGATAAATTAGAAGAGGAGATGCAAAAAAAGTTAGAGCAACAAGTACAATCTATCAAGATTGAGATGACAGATCAAGTTCTAACAATCAATCAAAAATTTTGCAACAAATTAATTTGTTGATCTCACAATTACAAATGAGGTTTCCTAGGCCAACAACTTCAACCATAAATAACCGGCCATCAATTTCTTCATAAATGGCATCATCTATTGCAACTATTTTTTATTTCCTTTCGATTCCCAAGTTTCTTTACTTATAAGAATTTGCAACTTAATGAATCCTCATTGATCGATTGTCAAGAAATGGAACAAATAATCAAACACCAAATATTTGATAATATATCTTTAAATCAGATTTGTAAGGTTAGTAACTTGTAATCACTTTATGAGTTTTTACAATTTTGACGTTCTAATTTGTAATATAATTTAAGATTTATGACTTGTTATGTCATTTTTACTTTTCTTAGATGGTGA